TTGTACTTTCTTTTGATTGTTGAATAATCGGTGCACCACCAGTATATACTACAGCACATCTATATTTTAGCAATTTGATTTATAGAAATTCCGTTGGTGGTCAGTCACGGACAGTGGTGGAAGAATAAGGGATTCGATATTAAGACAAAAAACGACAAAATAGAAAAAGTACTATTGCAGCATATTGTACTGTTGTTAAGCGATAACTTTGGGGGAAGTTCCAGATTATTAATTTTTTCATTAATAAATCAGATAACATAATATAAGCGAATCCATATTTTAGTATGCAGCCTTTTCACGGTAATTTTAACGTCTTTGTAATCCGACACCTACAGAGCCAATGACAATAATTGATACAGTTAATTGGGCCGGCGAGGCGTTTGTCCTTCAGCGACACTGAACCCCAGTTTGCGTCTCGACGGTCGGCTGCCCGCTCCTGACGGTTAAACGCAGAGGTCGAAGGTCATGCGTGCACCAGTGTGCTCGCGTGTCGAATGTAACTACTTAAAAGAACCAGATTTCACAATAAGAGCGGCGCGGCGTGCGCTCACCGTTCCCGTAGATGTGGAAGGAGGGAGAGAGCTCTTTGGCGGCGATGCGGGCCAGTCGGCACTCCTCCGTCGCCTTCAGCGCCACTCCTCCTGCGGCCTCCGCCTTCCCACGAGCGTGGCTCATCCTGAGCGGCACAGGGGGAAACACTTTACCGAGTATTTTATGTAATCTTACATTTTAGACTTCCACATATCCGAGGTAAATACTCCAACAAATGCTTTCCAGTGGAAAAAACACGTGTCTCCAGCAGTGTGGACTTTGGATGTCAAGTGTTTCCTTTTATTTATTGAGTCCTACTTCTTCAGCTAAATCATCTCTTGGATCAGCTGGAAAATTCATCATCCTCATCATCATCATCATCATCATCACACAAAGCTGAAAACAGGCTGTTTCTTTTTGGAGATTCATGGTTCCCACTGAACAGCAACGCTACAAACATGTGAGGATCTCATAGAATATGATGAGTTAATGTCGATTAAACCGCTTGTGAAACCCATAAAACCGGCAGCAGGAACATCAGATATAATAGTGACACTACATTTTAACAGTGTAACATTAGTGCTTTTGCTTTAGTTGATTGATGGAAAGATATTCGGCTCTCTGGGTAGAAGTTACCTCGACATGGCGATCTCCGCTTTCTGCTTGGAGATGTCGGCGGCCTTCTCCGCGGCCTCCACGGCCCGGTCCACCTTCTCTCTGATCTTGCTGGCCCTCAGGGGGATCAGGTTCTTGCGCTTCCCGCTGACCAGCGCGTTCTGCTTGTACTTCCCTTCCTCCTTGGTGCCGTCGGGGAAGGTGGTGCAGCCGTAGCCGTGCCTCTTGTTCCCCACCCACTCCCCCTCGTAGTGCAGCCCGTCGGAGCGCCGGCTGACGCCCCAGCCGGCCCGCTGGTCGCCCCGCCACTCGCCGGCGTACACCTCGGTGACGGTGGCGTCCACGGGGGCGCCCGGTTCGCTCTCGCTGGCGTTGGAGTGGATGTCGGAGGCGGCGGAGCTGACGGTGCTCATGCCCGCCTCGCTGCAGAAGGAGCTCTGCTTGCTGAGCTGGCTGGCCAGCGAGCTTTTGGACTCGGAGCGCCGCAGCTTCAGGCCGCTCAGGATGGACTGCCGGAAGCGGCCCTTCCGCTTCCTCTGGCGCTCGGCTTCGCTGGGCGCCGTCAGGGCGAAGCCCCCCCGGCCCACGGGGCTCCCGGCCAGGCCGGCCGCCCCCCCGTCCGGCGGCGTGGTGGCGGCGGCGTCTTCCAGCACAGCGGGGGGGCCGTGGCTGTGCTCGGAGCGGAGGGAGTTTATGGACGTTCGCAGGGGGAAGAGGATGACGGCCGCCATGCCGTACGGCACGCTCTGCCGCACGCCGTAGCCGTGACGCATCCCGGCCAACCACTGGCCCTGGTAGGTTCCTGTGGGGACAGATGGAGGCATCGGGGGTCAGACTCGGGCCCCTGTTCCTAAACGTTGCTCAGACGTTCATGGTTCCCAGAGGATGACTCAAACCCACAAGCAGAAGGTCGGTTTTTATTTGTTCGCGTTGCGCAACTTCTACCTCAACATTCACCTGATGGATCAGCGAGACACCGTTGGATGGGATGCCATTTTGTACCGAGATTCGTGTTTCCCAGAGGATGAATCCTACATTCCCATCATAGCACCACCATGAGGTTAACATTTGGAGTGGTTAAACATCTCAACAATACTTCACCATGAACCACGTGAGCTGTCCGTGGTGCTGAAAGCTCTGATATGGAGGTTCACATTTGACCATGTATACCAACCTAAAACATGACTCACTCGTTGTGTACAAAAGTAATAGTGCATAGTGCAGTGCATTGTGGGAGAAAAACGTCCACCAACATGCACGCTAAAAAAGAAGGCTGCATAGTTTGTCGGGTGTCAGCTGCTGCATTTTTTCTTGTTCTAGTTAATGTGCCAGTTTATATGGTTTACCCCCGCCCCCCCCTCATCACACACGCAGACACAGACACACACACACACACAGACACACAAACACACACACACACACTCACCAGGGGTCTAATCCTGCCACACTTAACGCTGGATGCAGAACTACAATGAACTGGTATGTCTACTGGATCTGGGTCACATAGCGTGACTGGGACCTGACTTGATACTTCACATTGATTCTATGCGCACACTTTGTGTAGATTCAGTCAAGTCAGAGTGCGAACTGATCTCCCACAATGCAACACTAAAGGAAATATACTTTAGATGGTGGTTAAACAACTGAAAATTGAGTTATGTGTTTTGGACTTTACATTGGTTGTGTTGTGTTGTTTGAGGTGTACAAGCACTCAGATCTTGTACTTGTGTAGACGTTCTGTGCTGTGTAGTCTGGAATTGGGGCCCAAGCTGTTTATAAATACATGCAGTGTACAAGGTAACACGGTAATTCTCTGTACGTTTCACTCGGGTGTATTTATCACATTGCCTGTGGGTGTTTGTGACTCTAAACCCCTGGAAACAGCTGTTGTCGACGGGGAGCTGTCCGAGGTGCTGAAACCAAACATGTGACTCATTGGACCTGTCCAAAATATGTTGTTATTGTCATTTTTAATAAGCAGTGTCTGTGTTGACAGACCTGTGTGTGTGTGTGTGTGTGTGAAACAGCACATTTATTGGGTTGTGTAAAATGTGTTAGCCCGTGCGTGCCACATTCATCTGCTCCTCTTCCACGTGAGCGGAAGAGGAGCAGAGCGATCGCGTGACGCAGTCTTTAAAAAAATAAAATAATGAAATGTTTTCTTCTCTTCACCATCTTTGTTTTACATTCTACTGTCTCACATTAAAGCGGCGGGTAGGAGGACGTTGTGTAGTTCTTTTGCGTCTCCTTTCAGTCATTGTGTGTTCTGTTTTTCTTTGTCATTGTTTTGTGTCACATCGTAGTCACTGTCTGTCTCTTTGTCGTCAGTTCGTGTGTCTTTAGTCATCATCCGTCTCTTCTTAGTGATTCCGGTCGAGTCGACCTCACAGGTGCTTCTGGTTTAAATCACTGCGGGTTCACTTGATGTTTTTGTGTGTACTTTATGTTGTACTTTGTGTGTACTTTGAGTTATACTGAATATTGAGTTCATGCTGGAGATGAAGAGAGGCCGTCCGGCTCCCGTCGGAAGCTTCCTTCCACAGCGGATCCACCCGGTCCCTCTTCTGCCCGATATTACTCTCAGTGCTCTACGGCGTACGGGCCCATTGAGCCCGGTACGCCTGCTCGGTAATCCGCCGTGTAGACGTGACCTACATGTGATCTGTGTAGCCTACATTTCAGCGGATGTTAGCAGCAGGCTAAGTTAGCAAGTCGCTCCACTTTGTGGAAGGAGCGAGAGATGTTTTATTAATTCAGTCAGGGAGTGGAGACACTGGGCGGGTGGAGCTTCCTTACCTCCATCCGAGTAGGTTTCCGTGCCGTATCCGTCCTGCAGCCCGTTGCTCCACGTGCCCTCGTACCGGGCCCCGCTCGCCGTGCTCTCCAGCTGCCCGTAGCGACCTTTGAACCCCTGCGTCCACTCCCCCCTGTACTCCCATCGGCCCTTGTTCTCCACCCCGACGCCATGCCGCTTGCCCTGCGCCCAGGTGCCCTGGTAGCTGTTCCCGCTGGGCCACGTGTACACGCCCAGGACCTCGAAGCCGTGGCTCCAGGCGCCGGCGTACTCGCCCTGACCCTGGGGCCCCGTGCAGACCCCTCGCCCATGGGCTTTACCCTGCTCCCACCCCCCGCAGTACGACCCCCCGTCATCAAAGTCAAACCTGCCTCCAGTGGACATGCATGAAACAGGTTCCGGCAAATCCTTAGAACGTCAAGAAAAGGAAAAAACAAGTGTCCGGGTCACTCAGGAGGAGCAAAATAGGGAGGAGGCCCCGTGTGAAGCCGGCAGCATGGAGGTGCAGGGCCTCGACTCCTCCTATCCCCTTAGTTTAGGATGTAGAACACCAGCAACTCGTTTAAGATGCAGCAGGACGCGGCCCGATGAGCGCCGCCTCGCGATGGAGGAGCAGCCTAAGCCTCAGCGACGGGTCTGGAGCGAGGAACGCAGCTGCTGTGCATGCTGCTTCCCATGGGGCATGCAGGCTCCGAGTGCTCCTCATCCTCCTCCTCCTCCTCCACTTCCTCCTCCACCTTCCTGCTCCGCGCAGCCCGCCAGCCTCGGCCGGTGCAGCGGGGCGCTCCAGACGAGCGAGGCCTAGGCTTTTCTAGCACTCGCAGAGGCCCACAGAGCGGCGGCGGCGGTGGAGGTGGAGGTGGAGCTGGTGGTGGTGTCGGCTACAGCGACCGAGCTCAGCTCAGTCAGACATCACAGCATCCACACATCCGCTGCCGCACCGGCACACAGACAGAGAGACGGGAGGAGGAGGAGGAGGAGGATGCTGCACTGGTACGCCATTAAATAAAAAATGAAATAGACATCCAGAGAAGTTGGCCTGTGAAGAAGGAGACTCGTCCGTGGCGGCAGCCTCAGCGTCAGCCTCCAGCAGACATCACGGAGGGCGAATCTCTCCTCGTCCTCCGCTGCCGCGCCGCCGAGATCTGACGATCAGCCTCCCCGCCGGAGACGAGGATGTGAGAGTGAGGAATTATTCCTCTCGCTCTCCCTTTGTCCTCTCTGGTTCAGCACTCGCCCCTAAAAAAAAAAACTGGATTGTTGTTGTATCCCAATTCCACCAAGTCATCTGTCCTCTCTTGTTTTTCGGCCTCTCTCTCTCTCTCTAAAATCTGCTCATTACAGGACTGTTCCACCCCAGCCAATACCCCTCCCCCACACACACACACACACACACAGGGCTCTTAAAGAGATAGAGACGGAGCGGCTCGCTGCTCTCTCCCGTCGGGGATACAGCCTGCTTCTCCTAATTAACCAGCCTCATTCCACTTCCTCCCTCAGACTGCAAGCCGGTCAGTCAGCAATCTGCTTTCCTGATAACAGAGGTTTTGTGAGCCCATTGATCCCGGGCCTCTCTCTCTCTCTCTCTCTCTCCCTCTCTCTCTCTCTCTCTCCACCAAGATAATTGCTGTTGGGTTTTTTTTCACCGTATAGGCAATCCGAGGGACTGTAGCTGTCACCTGATGAGAACCCAGACTGACCCTTTAAATGCACCAATGCGTTTCTAACGTCCCTCTGCTGGTTCAGTGAAGACAGAAGCTTCCGGAACACAGTCGGCCACATGGTTAATGATCAATAACCGGAGCCTGGTGGGATTGGAAATCTATCGGCCTATCTGCTGGATCGTGTGTGCGCAAGACGGGCTGACTGGGTGCAAACTGGGTGAAACGGATGATTTTTGAAGAAGTTCTTGTGAATTTCACATCTGCCACAAATGCAAATGGGATATTCCTGTATTATAAATATATAAAAAATATTTATTTGCATATATATATATAAATAATGTGTATATATATAATTATAATTAGCAGACCGCAAGAACATCCTTGTCCCATAAGCTCCTCAGATTGGAGCTATATGTTATACAATAATTCTTTCCTTTCTGCTATTAATCATTTCTCACTCCCTTACGTGGCCCTAATGTTTCAGATTTAAAGAATACTAAATGGAATCAACACATTAAATCATGAGGTATAATGATAAACTACCCAGCCGCTTATTAAGTGAAAATTAGCTCCACCGGCAGCAACGTTAACATGAAGGTATATTATAGAACACGTAGACCTGCATCATCATGTAGCATTTAGTGCGATCCATCGGTAGAAATAGTAAAAATAAAGCTTGGTTTTGTAACCTAGAATGAGACTTCTACATACAGAGATAAATTAATATTTATAAGACACAAATAGAAATTAATACCAGTTTATAGATTTAAAGACTGAGGGAAATAACAGCCAGCGTGGAACTAAAACCATAAACACAGAGCGGAGAGTTTAAACGTAAGCTTGTACACAAATACGTTTTAAATCATTTTTATTAATGTTTTAGACCATGTGTCTGGATAATAATGTTACAACCATTTGTTTATTTGTAAAACACCACAGTGTATTTTTACAGGTTGATAATAAACAGCAAAGAATGAACATCTGGTAGAAAGGGAGCATTAGAAAACAAAGTGTCCTCCCAGCACCGGGGGGGTAGGACGTGGTTCAGGTGAGGATGTCGTGGGCTTGTTGCTCCACCAGCATGGCCATGTTCTTCACGTCTCCACACCAGACGTCCAGACGCTCCTTCATGCCTTTGATCTAAACAGCAGGAGACAGTTGACGCTCGCCTGTGATCACATTCTGACCTCTGTCTTTTCATATTTGGACCACGGGCAAGTGATGTAGACGCTGAATAGACCTGTCAATCACTGTAAGCCCCGCCCTAAAGCATCCCCTTCTTTATGGACTGTTTGACTCTGAAGGAACATCTTGCTGTATTGAAGAAGACTTACTTTACCATAAACGCATGTTTACTGAGGGAATAAATCGAGAGAGTAGAGTCATTCTCTCATAAATTCTATGGGACCAGGAGTCTCCCCCTGCTGGTCACTACAGAGAATGCAGCTTAAGATTCATGTTTAAGAACCGCAGGCCGATGCCTCGTTTTAAAACCAATCTCCGTCCAGACGAGGTTTTTAGCATCGTTTCAGAAACGTACGTCTCCTTCGAGGTCTTTCTGCACCGGCTCTTTCAACCTATTTTCATTTATTTTAAAAGCACGGAGCAAGAATATCTGCACATGAATTCTCATGAACACCAAACATCTTGCAGTGAAACGCTTTTAGGTCCAGCTGATAACACGTAATCTGCTGAGTGAGCACTAACCTGCTGCAGGTCCAGCACTCTGGGCTGCACCCAGGTCATCTGCACCTTCTGGTCCACCTCGTCGATGTTCCCTTTGATCAGGCCCACGGACAGAGCCTTCATCACCAGCAGCTCCACCTGCAGCACACAACAGCAGAGTGAGGACCGTCCCTTCCCCCACCGCTGAGAAGACCGTATCCACGAGCCGGCGTTTCCTCGTTCCACACTCACCTCGTTGACGGGGATTTTGGCGCTCTGAGAGATCTCGGTGAAGGTGAGCTGTCTGTGGTTGGCAGGACGAGTGAAGGTCATCTGGGGTGAGAGACGGGATACTTTTTAACCTTTTTTATGTGACGTGTGGGGTCACTGTGAAGCGTCTCTGTTTTAAAACTAAATTCAGATGGCTGATTCCGTGCACTAAATTCTTAAATAACGCCACTATTTATTATATAGAAATGATCGAATGCACAACCAGCTCCTTCCAACGGCGATAAAACGCAACAAAAACCTTCTCTCACCTCCATCACGCACAGCAGCTGGATCTTCTGCATCAGTTTGGCTTCGTGTGCTGCGAGATCGGGCTAGAAGGAAGAGGGAATCACACCGTCACCACAGGAACCAGAACTTTTTTCTGAACCATTCTGTCCCGAGCGTTTCGATAAATAGAAGCGGCATCCGCCGTACTCGGATCAACACGGTGGACTCCACCTCCCTCATCGGTTGAGGCTTTAACGTTGCTTGTTCGACGTTTAAACGTGGATCACCTGTTGGCCCCAGGCCGATTTGAAGCTCTGGAATTTCTCCACGTTGCCTCCGTTGAAGGCGTACAGCGTGTCGATGAGCCACTGCTTGTCCGTGTTCCTCAGGGACTCCAGCACGGGATGCATGAGCTGCAAAGACACGCAACAACATGTGTCAGCGCACAAGCAGCGTTAGCAGCAGCGCTAACGGCGAACCAAGGCGGGTCACTTCAGTCCCACTGTGATGCGTTCAGGCTCAGCTCAATGAAAAGAAGAACATTACATGGTTACAGTGTTCGCATGTAATCTGGAAAATGTAGTTTTGGTGGTAAATAAAGTTACGACAATGTTCTCACAACATAAATAAATATTGGAGATTCATTATGAGGTGTTTAACTTCCTAACATGAGCTGTAGAAATACATCATTAAAGCTATTAATCACTAGATTTATTTAAATCCATAAAAATACAATCTTCTTTCCCCAAGAATTGGAATTGTGTGTCTTTATGACAAAACACAGCAAATTACTTTAACAAAGTAAAAGGATAACATTTAGAATTGTTGACTGTCGATTCTTCAGAGCGGTTGAAATAAAACACATTTTGGGACAGCTGCAAAAAATAGATAAAGAAACGGAGCCTTTTTTAAATCCTACCAGCTCCCCGAAGTTGTAAACTCCTTCTCCCAAGAGCCCGGCCAGTCCCAGCGTGAAGGCCCTCTCCTGCTTCTCCGTCTCTGTGGGGTAAAAGCGACATCAGAGCGTGAAACGCCAGCTGGGCTCCGCCGGCCGGAGGTCACGCGCCGGTCCTCTCGCTCACCCGGGAGGTCTTTGATGTCCACGCAGCCGAGGTAGCGCAGGGCGTCCTTGTAGTAGGAGGCGTGGTTCCCGATGATTCGATAGTATTTGCTGGACAGGTCATAAAAGCGGCCGTGCACCGACGTCACTCCGGGCAAGTTATTCAACATTTCCTCGACCTCTTCGATGAGTTTCTGGACGTGACAAGAAGAGGGAATGCGGGTTTATTGAAGTGTTAGAAGGCAGCGCCGGGTTTCTAGTGAACAAACGGTCAAGAGATAACGTGGTGCCATGAAACTTACTTTGGAGCCCAGAATGAACTCAACTGATGGCAGAAACAAATCTTTTTGAACAAAGAGGTTGTGAATTAAGGCCCGATCCACTAAAAAAACTAAAATGCATGTATAGTTTCATTAAAATAAAAGTAAAACGTTACTGCCATTGTACGAGGGGGGATTTAACCCTATTAGACGTAATACGTTTAGAGTTATTACATTATGCTCTGGGTGAGAGATAAACTGGTTGTTACCATGACATCAGCCCTGTAAAACATTTGTTCCTCTTGCTACCGTCATGCTTAATATGTGTCTATATATTTAGTACAATGATGATCTGGCCATTCGCTGCACATTGTTAGAATTACATTCAATATAATCTAATCAGGACGGGAAGTTCCTGTTCGTGTGGTAACGGATGTACCGACAACAGTGATAATGAGGATTAAAGAGACACGTTTATGTGATCTCTGAACAGATCCATGGTTGTTTTTTTCTCCATCAATCGAGTTCAAGGAGCTAAAAGCTTTGCCGACATCACATGTTTGTATGTTAACTCCACAGAGATCAGCAGTAAATATATTTAGAGGAGGAGACGCATCGTGTGTGAACATCACCTGCAGCCCAACGTGTGAAATGTGTCGGATGTGAACGAGGTGCGAGGCTCGCTTACCTTTGTGGCGGGAAGATCGTTGATCTCCAGTTTAAGTCTGCCGATAGACGTCTTGCAGAGAATGACGGCCTCGTCGCTGCTTTTCACCTGAAACACAAAGACAGCTTTTGATCAAAGATACGGTTTAAAAACAGCAAGAAAGATTTGACCGCATTAGCTTAGGTGCTAATCTATAAATGATATATATATATATATATATATATATATATATATACACACATATTTGAGAAGCTGTGATGCATCTGTTAACTCACCTTTTCCCTGGTCTTCTCAAGAAAAGTGATGGCATCTTTGGGATCTGAAAGAAAAAAAGTGTAATTACTAGAAAAACTGTGAGAAACATTGTGTTCTGCCTGTTGTTCTTCCTACCTTTCATCTGTCTGGCCACATACAGTATGATCTCCATGAGGGACAAGGGGTTGATTCTGAGGAAGGAATAAATAAAAATGATAAATCAGCATCCAACAGTGAGCGATGAGCTGGTGGCTGTGAGACGGCGAGTGATTCTCTCACCTGTGATCGAAGTCACTGATGAAGTTGTCATAGAGCTTAAAGAAAGAAAAGAAGAATAGAATTCAGATCATGACGTCATTTAGGGTTAATGTTCCTCCTCGTGTTTGAAGTTATGTTTTTTACAATTATCAATATCACGCTAATGATTTAAAAAAACATCACACATCCGTACGTCGACGAGGCTGTTACACAAAACGGAACAATTACATGCAAAGAAAAGCGTGCATGTCTTATTTCTATAGTGTCTGTCCTAAAAATAAACTTTGCTGCAATAAAATATATAGATAGATGGATATTTACTGTATTAATCCCACTTGTTTTTGCAACAGCAGCATAAATATATACACACAGGTGAAGCTATAGAATAGAAATATCAAATATACAAGACAAAAAGAATAGTATTAAATAAGTAACAAATAACCGGTAACGGTGGTATACTTGTGTGATTGAACTTCCAGTTAAAAGGGTCACATTAAATATACAAATACAGGATAAGAGATGTGTGCACATGTAAGACCGTCGGTGGTACCTGTATGAGGCCATCTCCCGTTTTGAAGCAAGGATCTTTAACAAAGTCTGTCAGCCTGAGAGTCAACTGATGCCACAATCTGTAAACAAAGAAAAGTGTCTGTGAAGGACAACAACACATTATCCAGAAGATAATACTAATTATATATATTTATATTTAAACGAGTCTAAAGGTTTACTGGATTGCTTGTGAAGCCATCTTTCCTTTTGAATTCTATCGTTAACCTGTGATGGACGTTTGTACATTACCGAGCAAACAACACCTAGATATCACATGGTTTATAGGTTAACATCCACGGTGATAATGTTATGTATCTACTAAACACCAAATTCACTTTAAATGCAAGTGATGCCGTCACTGTCTGCGGACTGAGGGCTTCAGCCTAGCACCTCGCTAGCAAACAGCTAACACAAACTTGCGACAAACTTCCGTTATCCTAAATTGATGACGTTGGGTTCAGAGTTTAAAACATGTACATTGTGTTTTATTCAATGGTCTAAATGTTTAGAATTCCAAGCAAAGAGGACACTTTCCGCTCACATGTTTAAGGAACTTGCTAACATTGGTGAGACATCAGCTAACGCTAGGTCAGCGAATGACTCAGCGTGCATTTGCAATGAATGAGCGAGCTAACGTTAGCTAGCCTAGCATAAGCGGAGCATTAGCCTAGCTGACTTCTTGTTTAATGTTACCTTTTGTTGTGCAACTCCTCCAACGTGTGCCACTCCGTCGCCATCTCCGGGGTGGTGCTATTACTCTGCTGCTGTTTGAGGTAGCCGCTAACATCTTTCATGGTGGCGAAGAAACTGTGAGGTTAAATCCTTATTGGGGCTCTGTTGTGTGTCTTCAGCTAACGCCAGATAGCCTGCCGTGTTGTGGCTCTACTGCCGCGCGCAAAGGATGATGGGAGATAAAGTAGGCGTTTCTAAAGCCGGCCGTTAGCTGAGATTTGTTTTTACCGTAAACTTTAATTCTTGACTGCTAACGGTACACACGTTATGTTTAATTTGATTCATGGTAACGTTGTTTTCAGATGTTATACACTAATGCCGTGCTTTATTGTTGGATCTTTTAGATTAATAAACTGCGCACAATTGAATAAAATCGGAAATCCAGTTCGGTAGCTATCGACCGAGCTTAAGCTAAGGTTCACTAGCGTTAGCCTATCGAGTACATCCGTCTGCGTGAGGTCAAAGGTCAACAACAAACATGTCAGCGAGCAGTTTGTCATCGTTACATATTTCATCTGCCTTCAGGTAGAGAACATCTCGTCATCAGTCAGTAGGAGTCACGCAATAACAATAACGTTAGTGCAGTTGAGTAGCTGCTCCGTAATGGCTTCTTCAGTGAGTCCGTCATTACGGTCACCTGTCAGACTGAGTGTGTACCTGTGCTCGAGGACAAGCAGGACGCTCTCTGCAAACGGTGAGAAGACAGGCAGTGACATTATGATGCAATACGGTGTTTGGTGAGTGATAATTGTGAGATGTTTCTGTGCAGGTCGTTTGGGTCAAAGGAGGTCGTGTCCACGACCAGGTGAAGGTGCAGCGCTGTGCAGGTATCTCACACGGACAGCGGGTCAAATCCCAGCAATATAAAATTATTATTATGCATACAAAAACTAAACGAGTAAGCAGAGCACAGTACTTAACCTTGAGGTATGGTAGTACAGAAACTATATATATATTTATGGGATGTTGCATGTGAACACATCCCTGTGTGCTCATATGTTTGTGTGGAGTTCAGGGCCTGAGATGGGGACCAGGACCTGGCACAGTGACTTGATTTGGACTTGCAGAAAAGGACTTGTGAGGGTCTCTGTGCTTGAGGAGATAATAAACATTCATTAGATTTATAAGCGGTCATTAGTTGGCGACCCAAAGTAATTATTCAAAACAGTCCTAACTGTTTAGCAATGAGCGATGTTTCCTTTTTTACAGAAGTGCCTTTAATGCTTGCTGCACTAACCCTCTCTAAGAAGACGTGATCGCATGTCAGACAGAAGCCTCGTAACGACCATAGAATACCTGCACCTGGCAAGAAACACTCCTTCATTCCTGTTTTGCTGCTTCGCAGACAAACCGTCTCTCCCCAGTGGAACGGGACCCGAGAGTTCTTCTCCCGTGGCGGCGGCGGCGGCGGCTCAGCCGAGGGTCAGAAGACCCTGGCCGACATCGCAGAGGGCATCAGAGAGCGGCGGTACGCGAAGGTGGTGGTGATGGCCGGAGCCGGGATCAGCACGGCGAGCGGCATCCCGGATTTCAGGTGAATCTACTTATTTATTAATCGGTGTTCGTGTGAGCCTCCGGTGAGCATCGGGCGTGTTCAGCAGATCTTTACCTCCCAGGTCTCCAGGCAGCGGTCTCTATGACAACCTGCAGCAGTACGACCTGCCCTACGCGGAGGCCATATTCGAGCTCCGCTTCTTCCACCATAACCCCAGACCCTTCTTCGCCCTGGCCAAAGAGCTCTACCCGGGGAACTACCGGCCCAATGTGACCCATTATTTTGTGCGGCTGCTGCACGAGAAGAGTCAGCTCCTCCGGATGTACACGCAGAACATCGACGGGCTGGAAAGACGTAGGCGCCGTCCGGCTTCGTGTACTCTCCTCGCCGTGACTGCACGTCTGTGAGGTTCTGACAGACCTTCTAAGCCGCCTTGCTTGTTTACTTGTGCGTCAGTGGCGGGGATTCCTCCTGAGATGTTGGTGGAGGCTCACGGAACGTTCGCCACGGCAACCTGCACCGTCTGTCTGAGGGAACACCAGGGGGAGGAGCTCCGAGTGAGTTATGACCCCGAAAACACAAACACATTTACCTTCACCACTAGATTTAAAATATGAGTCGGTGTTGAGCCATTTAGACCATTAGACTACATTATATTTAAAGGAACTGGCAGTGGTGGAAAATGCTAACAAATGTATTTTGCCAGACTGTTAAGGTGACTTAGATCTGTATTTGACCTTCTATATTTGGATTTTAGTTTAATCTTTTTGTCGAGTATGACTTTTGACAAACAATTCCATGATTTTTTTTTGGGAGAAATTGTTGAATTAATTGTGTGCAGGCCTGCAAAGAGAACGTCTGAGATTTGTTAAAGTTTGAGGTCCTTAAATGTTAAAAAATGAAGACCCGATTTCTGTTTAATCCCAATATATAAATCACAGTGTCTGTTGATCCAATCAAACTTTTGCAATCCAACTTATTTGTTTTTTCGTGCTGGATTATGAATATATATGTTTTGTATTTTTATATGTGGTTGCTCCACCGGACATTTTATAGCCAGTAAAGTTAAAAAACACTGTTAAGCATCACGTGTGGCTCACCAGGCGGACGTGATGAGCGGGACGGTCCCACAGTGTCCCACCTGTAGAGGCGTGGTGAAGCCCGACATCGTGTTCTTCGGGGAGGAGCTTCCACGTCACTTCTTCAAGTACCTCACGGACTTCCCGCGGGCCGACCTGCTGGTCGTCATGGGAACGTCGTTGGAGGTGAGCCGTGCGTGTAGGTAAACGGGGACACGGGCTTTCGTTTCCTTCTTAAAGACGACGACGCCTATCAAACGGTCCCACGTGCTTTGAAACGCTGCCGCTCTGCAGGTGGAGCCGTTCGCCAGTCTGGCCGGAGCGGTGGGCGGCTCCGTTCCCCGTCTGCTCATCAACCGGGACCCGGTGGGTCCGTTCGCCGGGCGCCACCGCGCCCGCGACGTGGTGCGACTGGGCGACGTGGTCGAAGGCGTGCGAGCCCTGGTCGACGCCCTCGGCTGGACCCGCGAGCTGGACGCTCTGATGGCCGCCGCTGCTCTGAAAGTGTGTGTGTGTGTGTGTGTTGTGGTTACAGCTCTTCCACGTGAGAGTTCCCATGAGCCTCTTGGCTTAGTGAAAACCAAACACGAGGCGAGAGGCTCACGGAGGCCGAGGTCACGGCCTCCGTGAGCCTCTCGCCTCGTCGAGCAGCCGAGCTGATGAGGTCACTCGTGGTGTTTTGTGCTTTTATCCGCAGGCTGCAACAAAGACGGAAGAGTGACGATTTCCAGCAACCAAACCGGAGGTTTGATCTCATTCAGTCAGGCTGACGAAAAAACCGCCTGAATGTCGACTGTAAAGGGTGAAGACGTGGATCTCTGTTGAATTACAGGAAACTCACAGACGGCTAATAAGAAACTTAGATTTATTCTCTTCTCATATCAGCAGCATGCAGGTGAGTGATGACGTAACAGTAAGACAGATGTGCAGTATTACATTTGATTGTTTTCACCTGTGAGTCAAACAGCCTCCGCGACAACGTTCGTTTGTATGGAGTCAATTTTTATGTCTTCATTTGAATTATTATGAAGAAGGGCGATGTGCTGGTTAAATACTGTAGAAGTATTGAAATGTCAACCCGGGTTTAAATACATACGGGAACCATATTCAGAACCTTTGCCTCTTTAATGAGCCGCCATGATCAAAACTATCTAATAAACAGTTTGAAACATAAGCCGTCTGAAATGCGTCCATATATATTTGTGTTGCCAGTGAGTGACATCAGCTGACAGGAAGTAAACATAAACCCTCGCTGTTGCCTGGCAACGTAATTCAGTTAAAATGCACCAAAAGATGAACACAGGATGTGTATTTAGACTGACAATTAATCGTTTTTGAACGTTCTAGGATGAAAACATGTTGTATTAGAAAGTGTGAAGCTGAACAATTTATGTTTAATAAATTTAAATATTTACGGTGGGGAAATGAAGGAGAATGTAAGCTTTTAGGACTGAATCTTTCTTCAGAAATGGGGAGGACCTTTAGGCGCTTTTAGTGTGTGTGTGTGTGTGTGTGTGTGTGTGTGTGTGTGTGTGTGTCTCATTAAGTTGAGATGCTCTGACACACAGATAATAATAGTTATTAGAGTCCATCATTGCTGGCTGTGGGTCTTTTAATGTGAGTCGAGGGTATTTTAACCAGCAGAGGTTGCCAGAGGACCAAGATTCAGACAAATTAGGCTGTTCAGCCCTTTATATGTTTATATGTCTTTATTAAAACCAGAGCCACTGAGCAACTGTCAGTTAAACCATCACTTAAATTATTACATAACATCAGTTTTACACAGTGAGTTTATTTTATTTCACTGTAATCGTCAGTAAGTCCTATTTAGATTAATGTATGATTGGCCGTTGTTAATTGATTGATTAAATCTGTTCTTTCTTCAGACAATGACCTCACTAAGATCTGTATTCTTACATTTCTTACGTTATAATAGCAACGCCTGGCCCAGAATATCATCTGCTGGTAGCAAAGCTTTCCCTTTCACCTGGATGTCTGTGTTGCTCTTTAAGGGCCTGAAGTAGTGAAGACTATTAACTAGAAGATGTCTCTGCCTGGATGGATCAACGGGACATTTTCAAAGAAACATTCCTGCTGAATCCTCCTTCAGGTGAACGTCGGGCTTCTTCGCCATGAGATTCCTCACCCGTTTGGTGGGAATTTAGCACAATGCATTTATGTGGATTCTAATCACAATGGTCTCGTCCACATTTATTTTCATGTTAATGACTGAAACACACTCAGCCTTGGTAAACTCATGTTTACACTGATTACTGAGGGAATAAATCGAGTCATTTCCTCATAGACGTCTATGGGAGCAGAGGAGTCGCCCCCTGCTGGTCACTGCAGAGAAGTAGTCATTTCCTCACAGACGTCTATGGGAGCAGAGGAGTCGCCCCCTGCTGGTCACTACAGAGAAGTAGAGTCATTTCCTCATAGACGTCTATGGGAGCAGAGGAGTCGCCCCCTGCTGGTCACTACAGAGAAGTAGAGTCATTTCCTCATAGACGTCTATGGGAGCAGAGGAGTCGCCCCCTGCTGGTCACTACAGAGAAGTAGAGTCATTTCCTCATAGACGTCTATGGGAGCAGAGGAGTCGCCCCCTGCTGGTCACTACAGAGAAGTAGAGTCATTTCCTCATAGACGTCTATGGGAGCAGAGGAGTCGCCCCCTGCTGGTCACCACACAGAATGCATCTGAATAAACATCCTCGTTTCGTTCATTCGGCGTAGTTGGAGGTTGACTCGGGGTTTGCACCGTTAGCAGACAGCCTCCCTGAGGTGACAATAGGAACATCTTCAGTTTTGTATTGAGCAGCTTTTCCGGATCCTTCCCTCATTCATTCAAACAACACAATGCAGTCCTGCGTTTGTTTTCTTAATTTAAACTACAAAATAAAGGTTGTCGTGCTCATGAGTACCTTGTTGCCTCCGTGTTCTAATTCACGGCTTTGACATGTAATGCTTTTGTTGTCCCATGACGGGGGGGTTGAAGCTGGTCAAAAAAAAACAGTAAAAAACAGATGATGTGCTTGTAAAAAACCCTAAAGACTCTTTATCTCAAAAAAACAGATTTACCAACCTAGACCCCCCCTCCCCGAAACCCCCCTCGCTGCTTCTATGAATAAGCTTTCGTTGGTTCAGCACAAGCGCAACTAACCGCGCACGTTGCAGTGTCCATGGCAACCTACCTGGCTTTGCTGCCACGTTCTCTGCTGAATGGGGGTCCTGCTGCCAGCGTCAGTGGAATGCGGGACGCGGCGTGAAGGGAGGGCCGGCGGCGGCGCCACGCCAACAGATAAGAGCGGGAAAAGGGGGCGAGAACAACGCCGATGGTATCACACAGAGATATGAGGGCCAATGATCCCCATCGGCTCCATTTACTTCCATTTGTTTGAGGGAGAACGCGTGGAAAGAGTTCTGAATCACCAGAAGAACCAACGATCCTCCGTCCTCTCACCTGTCCGATCTACACCCCTATTTCCTCCACCTCAGGCTGAGTGGAGTCGTTCAGGATTGTAACCTCTGAAGATCATAAACACCAGTTTCCTTTGACATCAGACTGATGAAGCAGCAGCTGAGCCCACATTACATTGCTGATGAGGACGATACATTGTAACTGTAGATGTGTGCGTGTTATCTGATGACACAGCCACGTAGTGAGGACCCCCCCCCCCTTCCCGACGGGCACAAGGTGACGTCTGC